TAAAAATGCAAAAATTAGCTGGGCATGGTGGCAGGCATCTGTAATCCCAGCTACTTGGGAGGCTGAGGCAGGAGAATCATTTGAACCCAGGGGGCAGAGGTTGCAGTGAGCTAAGATGGTGCCACTTCACTCCAGCCTGGGGGAAAGAATGAGATTCCATCTCAAGAAAAAGTAAAATAAATAAATAAATAAATAAGTAAAGTAGTTTAAATTATTCCTACCTGGTCTTAATTTGCTCTTGAGGTTAGGATTTGCCAGTGGTATACAATCCAATGACAAATCTCCTGCATCTCCTGCTCAGATTTTTTCCCCATTGTCTCTGAGTTGCTAAGGGAGACAGATGGAACTTGCAGGTCTAGAAGATAATCAGGATAAACACAATTGGTGTCTCTATTTGGAGCACAAAGGAATAAAAACACCACATAACACCTTTCAGCACAGCTTTCTAATATTTAGTTCTCTCAAGTAGGGTTTTCTATCTCTTGCAATTGACTTCTCGATGAAGAATAAGGAGAACCAAATGGTGAGGCTAGAGTGAGTTGGGAGGAAGAAAAAAAAAGAATGAAAAACCACCAAAGTAAATGTTGGTTTGAATTTCACGTTGTAATTCCCATGTGCTGTGTATGCTATGGGAACTAAATGAATGTTTACTGGCATTTTCTGACACAGCATAAAATATCCTTTGCTCTTGTATACAATAAAAGACCTACGTTTAACTGAGAGATGAAGTGACCTTCAGTGCTTCCTGTGCCCATGCAGGAAACTGGCTTGTTGTTATGCTTGAGAGGTGGGCTAAAAAGAATTTCCAAATGGATTCAATGCGATTTAGTTAAAATGCTGGTTTTCATTTTACAAACTAATGCCTGCTGTAGACTGAATATTTGTGTCCCCCCAACACAATCATGTTAAAACCCTAAACTTCAGTGTGACCATATTTGGAGATAGGGCCTCTGGGAGGTAGTCAGGGTTAGTTGAAATCATGAAAGCGAGATTCTGGTGTGGTGGAATTAGTGCCCTTGAACCAAGAGGTACTGGTGCTGCCTGTCCCTCTGTCTCTGTCTCTCTGATTCTGAATGCAGGCACTGGGGAAAGGTCATGAGCATGCAGAGAGATGGAAGCCATCGACAGCAAGCCAGCAACAGACCATGCTAGTATCTTATTTGTGGACTTCTAACCTCTAGAACGGTGAAAAACTAAATTTTTGTACTCTGTTTATGGAACCCAGAGCAAATGAAGACATTGCTTTATCCAAAGACACATTTCAGGAGTGTGTTCTGATTTATGATCATGTTGAAGAATAAGTGGGTGTCTCAGTTTGTTTGTGTTGCTATAATAAACGACTTGAGACTGGGTAGTTTATAAAGAACAGAAATTTGTTCCTCACCATTCTGAATGCTGAAAGTGCAAGATCAAGGTGCATCAGGTTTGGTGTTCGGTGAAGGCCCACCCTCAGCTTCCAAGATGGTGCCTTTGCTGCATCCTTTGAAAGGGACAAATGTTGAGTTCTCAAATGGCAGAAGGTAGAAGGGCAAAAAAGGCCTAAGCTGGTTCTCACTAGCCCATTTATAAGGCACAAATCTATTCATGAGGATAGAGCCATTATGACTTCCTCACTTCCCCAAAGGCTCCATCTCTCAATAGCACTATAATGAGGACTAAGTTTCAACATGAATTTTGGAAGGGACACATTCAAACTGTAGCAATGTGTGAATATTATTTTGGAAGAGTCCGAAAAACACTATCTTAAAAAAAGACATAACTATGATGTAGCTTTTTTTTTTTTTTTGAGCTGGAGTTCGCTCTTGTATACCCAGGCTGGAATGCAATGGCGCAATCTCGGCTCACTGCAACCTCCGCCTCCTGGGTTCACGCCATTCTCCTGCCTCAGCCTCCTGAGTAGCTGGGATTACAGGCACGTGCCACTATGCCTGGCTAATTTTTTGTATTTTTAGTAGAGACGGGGTTTCACTATGTTGACCAGGATGGTCTCGATCTCTTGACCTCGTGATCCACCTGCCTCGGCCTCCCAAAGTGCTGGGATTACAGGCGTGAGCCACCGCGCCCGGCCCTGATGTAGCTTTTTAATCTTGATGGATAAAACCTCAGAATGGTCGCTCTTCAGGACCCCATGTAAATATGTATCAATGGTATCTTAGGAACACAAACTCTATTGGTTACTTTTTTAAAAATTTGGCTATCGTGTGCTTCCCTTTCCCCATTTCTCCCTTGTTCTTTCTTTACTAATTCATAATCTATGTATTTTTACTTTCAGGGGGAGTTTTATACCTGGTATGCTATTTGCCGCTTTCATGTAGAATGGAGAGTTCTCCATTCTAGCCACACCCAGTTCCTCTCTGCTCCAGACATTGGATACTGGCCTAGTGTCCCAGAAGTTCTGAGTTCAGAGTCCTCATGTACCAATGCCAGTAACAGTCAGTTTCACAGTGCCTCTGGCCAGCTACACTCCTATGCAGCTCAACAATTTCTCACTTTTCTCCTTTTTAAAAAGCAACAAAACTACTCAGCTGCCACTGCTGCATAACCCAGTATTGGAAAGATCATTTCATACAACTCTTGAGACAATCCTACAAGATCAAGCAATTAGTTCCCTGGAGTGGTGGCCAGCTCATCAAAGCCTCCTTGGACTGATGCTTCCCCTGACCCTGTTTTGTTCCCTTGTCCCTCCTTCCTGCTCCTAGGATCACACTCCCCAGTAAACTTTTTGAACAATGAGACCTGTGTTTAGGTTAAATCTTTCTGGGGAACTTGTACCAAAACTCCATTGCATACTCAGCCTAACTTTGTCCTTTATTATAATGAATAATCTGCACAAAAAATAGATTTTTTTTTTTGAGACCGAGTCTTGCTCTGTTGCCAGGCACCAGGCTGGAGTGCAGTGGCACGATCTCGGCTCACTGCAACTTCCGCCTCCCGGGTTCAAGCAATTCTCTTGCCTCAGCCTCCCGGATAGCTGGGACTACAGGCGCACGCCACCATGCCCAGATAATTTTTTTGTATTTTTAGTAGAGATGGGGTTTCACCATGTTGGCTAGGATGGTCTCAATCTCTTGACCTCGTGAACTGCTTGCCTCGGCTTCCCAAAGTGCTGGGATTACAGGCTTGAGCTACCGTGCCTGGCCAAAAAATAGACTTTTTAATGATAATATATGTTACAATTTTGTTTACTTTACTTCCTCTTTCTTGCACTCAGTTTCTTTCCCTTTAGAAATCTGCTACCTAGCTCTCAGTTTCTATGTCCTTCATTCAAATACTTGAGTTTTTACTAAGGGACAGCTGCATGGACTGCTAGAAGTTGGTAAACTCTAGTTGTCTTAGTCCATTCATGTTGCTACAATAAAATACAGTAGACTGGGTGGCTTATAAACAACAGAAGTTTATTTCTCAAGTTCTGGAGGCTGGGAAATCCAAGATCAGGGTGGCAGCAGATTCAGGGTCTGGTCAGGACCTGTTCTGGTCCAGAGAGGGCTGCTTCTTTCTGTGTCCTCACATGGTAGAAGGGCCAACCAAGGCAGCTCTCTGGGGTCTCTTTTTAGAACAGCCATTTTGGCGCACATGGATGAAACCTCTTTTATAAGGACACTGATCTTCTTTACAAGGACTGCATCCTCATGACCTCATCACCTCCTAAAGCCCCACCTCCTAATACCATCACCTTGGTGGTTAGGATTTCAACAGAGGAATGTGGGGGACGATACAAACATTCAGACCATGACGATGATGCTAGGGCTTCATATGGCCCCATGTCTTGCTTTGTTTGGCTCTTGTTTGGCTTCCATAGCATTTTGAAAAATACTGTAATAATCAGACATGCTTGGTCTTGAGACAAATAATTTAAGCAATTCCATTTGAGTCTGTAATTTCTGGCTACCCTGAAGGCTGTGGGGGGAAGCAGGATTTAATCCTGAGTCCCTAGGGATGGAAGGGTCCGACATCCCAGGGAGGTACAACCAAGGTAATGGTTGAGCCTGGGGCTTTTCAAACACAGTTTCTATTCTCCCACCTGCACAAGGCTAGGGTTTAGACTGTATTTTTGCATATGGTGCTACGTCTTCAGCAGTCCATTTTACTTGCTGGTGAGAAACTCATCTTATATAATTTGTGAAAAAAACAAAGCTACCTCAGAGCAAAATGCAAACTTGTCTTTTAGTTTTTAAGGTATATAATATTTACAAATGCTGCCCCAGTGCCTGCCTGTTTTCAGTCATGCCTTCCGAATCTTCAAGGGTAGATTTGAGCTACTCTCCTTTATCACTGGGAGTTCCCTGGAGAAGTCTGAAGAGCCCTATGCTAGGGTGTTCCTTGGTCTCGTTAACCTTGCCCCTTTTCAGTAAGTCAGCTGAACTCCTGTGATTTTCAGTTTCTTCACTCTGACTTGGAGTCTTCCTGATCTTGGCTTGATGGCTTGGCTCTCATGTCTTCTGTTCCAGACTTTGCTTTCTCTTTTCTCTTTCTTTTTGAGACAGGGTCTCACTCTGTCATCCAGTTTGGAATGCAGTGGCCCCATCTCAGCTCACTGGAACCTCCACCTCCAGGCTCAAGTGATCCTCCCACATCAGCCTCTCCAGTAGCTGGGTTAACAGGCATGCACCACTGTGCCTGGATAATTTTATAATTTTTTTTTTTTTTTTGGTAGAGACAGGCTCTCTCTATATTGTCCAAGTTGGTCTTGAATTCCTGGGCTCAAGCAATTCTCCTGCCTTGGCCTCCCAAAGTGCTGGAATTACAGACACTGTGCCTAGCCTTGCTTTCTCTTTTCTGATACTCTTTTGCTTCCAATTTTAATATATAGGTGTATATTTTTAACTCTGGTCTGCTGTTCTGGTTCTGTTTAAAGTCCCAGTCAAAGGAACCTGGGTGCTTTCCTCCTGACATTTGTGTAGCTTCTCATTCCTGCTACTGGGCATTTATTGCCATGCTTCTCTTCCTCCATGTTTGAAATTCTCTCCATGTATTGATTTGGGCGTTTGTTGCTGCGCTGCTTCTTAGCATGTTTGAGGTGATCTCCACATAGTTATTTTAAATGGCTGTTTTACAGACAACATTTCTGTTTCAAATGTTCTTTCCTGTTTGCAAACCAGCATTTCTTACAGAGTGGTTGCTACCACTCTGCTAATTTATTCCACCTTAACAATAAGATTTCTTGTTTTCTTCAGATTTTTCAAAATCTGAGAATTGAATTTCTAGAAATGACAAACTACTGCATTTCATCTTGGCTAACTGGCTGTGTGGGCTGCTTCCCGCTGCAAAGTCACATGAGATTTGCTGTTGTTGTTGATGTTGTCATTTTAAAGAAAAAGAAAGCAGTTTGATTCTTTGGCAGAAACTCACCATTACTCTCTTAGTAATATGATAAAATTCCATCGATCCACCTTCACAAAAGGGAATCTTGAGGTAAGCTTTCAACTTTCCTTTTTGAAACAGGCTTAAACAAATGCATTCAGTTTTGGGAAACAGATCTTCCTCTGAGCAAGGCAGACTGAGCTACATTCCTGTGTTTCTCATGCTGCAGTGGGAAAAGTTCATGAATGTAAGGGAATGCTTTTGCAAAGTTATCTGTGAAGGGAAAGGAATAATTACTTCTGTGTGATTCAGACCTGGGCACCATCCAGGTTCCCCAATTAGCTGTGAGAACAGTGCCGGCTATTGTGTCTCAAGTTTACCTTGAATTTTCCAAAGAAACATTCATTCTGATCTCTGTGAATATTAGAAAGTAGGAGCCCTCACATTCTTCTTTCTTGTATTGGAGCAAAAGAGGCCCAAAGGACTACAAGAGAGGTTCAGAGAAGAATAGCTGCTGTAAGCATTTTACTGCCGGGGATTGAAAAGGGAACTGCAGTGTAATTCAAAAATATTTTCTTAGGAAAAAATCCAGAAACTTCTGCTTTACGAGGAGTGCTTGGATACAGACATATCTTCACATATGAGGGAATGATGGGAATTATACATTTCTTTTCTTTTTCTTTCCTTACTTGTATAACCCTGTTTTTCAGTACACATTGTGTTTCTGAAGTCACTCTAGACTATGGGAAACATTAAGATGAAAATAAGTCAGACAGTAGTATTTCTATGGCTTTGCCTCTACAAACTGTGGAAATTTTAGATTCTCGAATTCTTCCTACATAGCTTTGGGAGTACATGTGGAACAATTTCACATGTGCTTCTTGGGCACTGTGTGGCGTCTTTCATTTTCCACTTTTCCAGGTGTGGTTTATATGGGACTATAGTGTGGTCCATTTTTGCTGAGTTAAGGAGGATAGGAAGTTAGTCAACAGGGTGAGGAGTTAGTCTCCTGGTGATCCTAGCACCTGATATTGGGGCATTGGCATCCTCACTCATCAAGACACCACTGCCAACCAGGATGCCCACTGAGGGGCCAGGCCTTGGCAAAGCTCACTCCAAGTCTCTTGAACCAAGGCTCTTGTTCATGATGTTCACTCTGCCATGAGTATTTGGAGACAGCCATTGTCCCAATGTGGCTCTGTCTCTTGCTATCGAAGCCCCATGGAAATATCTGTGTTTCCTTCTTTTTAATGAAGCCATCTCAATTGAAGACATGGGGCTGTGTCTCTGAGGACTCGGTGGGTAAGATGAGTGACAGGTACATGTACCATTCAGAAATCTTTCCTTGGTTTGCTATCCTGGAAGGGGGCTTACATCAATGAACCTTGGTTATTTCCCTGGTGGTTCTTTCGTCCCTCGTGTGTGCAGCCTCTGTTCTCAGCCATGCCCAGGTATGCCTGATATGCTTGAGAGATGTCTGAGTCTAAGGGTGGGTACAATTAGCATGACTGCGTGCATTTGACTTCATTCTATGTAGGACACAAATGTGAACTAATAGCATGGCATTTTGCAAATTTGTCCAACACACTGGTTGGAATGAGGTCTTTGGTTCACCTCCATAGGCAAGGACAGGCCTATGTTTGTTTGTGGGATAAAATTTCTATAGCCTGTTTCTATTCTTTTGTGGAATAGCTCACAAATCTATGATTACTATCTAGATCTTTCTCCCATGTTTCTGATTCTCATCGTTCCCTCTAATTCCTGCTTCCATTAATGAACCATCCACCCAAGCTACTGAGCTAGAATCATCCTTACATCCTTTCACCCCTGCACACCTGACAAATCAATTACAAAATCAAACACAAAATCTCTGATAATTCTTACATCAGTCAAGAGGGATAGAAGAGTAAGTATTATGGGATCTGTTTTTTTCTTTGGAAAAAAAATTTCCTGAAAAATAATATCTACTAATAGATGTATTTAATAATAGATATATCTAATAATATATAATATAGAAACTTTACTAATACTCCTTATCCCAACAGGAAGAGATTTCCATTATACATTTTATGGGATGACACCAGTAGAAATGATTTTTCTGTTGTTTGCTATTATCTTCAAAAGCCAAAACAAGGGAGGCTTTAATCTGGCCATATTTGGGATGTGAAGAAAGAATATATTGTTCTAAAAATAAGTACAACTGGGGAGTACAGATTTTGTGACTTTGCTATGGGTGCTGTAAATTTCCATTTACTACACAATAAGGAAATTACTATGTGTAATTGTGTTAAAAATGGTGACCATTCTCTGCATTCTATACTTAGAACATGTTATAGTATTGAAAAGAAAAGGTGACTCATTTGTAAATGCCCCTTAACAAATCAGCTAAAATAGAAGATAAATCTACTATTTGCTGACTGTTGTCTTGGTCAGCTGAAGTTGAGTCTCCAAGACATAACAGGCACCCTGAGGTGCAGGCTGTGGACAGTCTTCCACATTTTCTGGGATTGGATATCAAGGGTGTTATGGTGGGCTCTGTCTTGCCTGTAAGTTTGGTTTAGTGTGGAATTGGGTGGCAGACAAACCCATTGAGGAAAGACTTTCTTCATTAGAGCCTGTGAATTAACAGTTTATCCAATTGAACATCTAATTTAACTAGATAATCTAACCAACGAGCTCCTAAATTTCTACTGCAAGCCCTGATGGGCTCTATAGGGAGAATTTTATGTGAGTACAGAAGGTTCTATGAGGTTTTAGATGTACTAGGATGTATAAGTGAGCCACTCTAGAAAAAGGTAAAAAAATGTCTTAGGCGTTCCAAAATGTTTAGCGTTTTACTTCTAGCTCTCACAATAATATGAAGCTCTTCAGTCTCCAGACTCCATATCCTCTGTTATAATTCACACCATGGCTGAATAGAAAGTCATAATTTCCCAAATTATCCCTTACTGAATTATCTTGAGAATTCAGTAAGGGGTTCCCTCTCTTATTGGAGCAATATTAGTTTGCGGTAGTATAACAAAGGACTAATGAAGGTTGATTTAATCTACAACGAGGTGATAGCACAGGGCTTAGTTAAAGCAGCATGGACCATGGAGCCAGAGGAGCTTCAGGGAGTGGCTTTCCTGCCTAATAGCTTTGTGACCTATGTGACCTCAACATTCCGAACCCCAGTGTTCCTAATCTGCTTAATGAAGCACATAATACCTATGTGAATTGCAAAAATTAGGCTTTATGTAACACTTATGATGGATCATAAAGTGCTTATGATAGATTCCTGTGCTTTTTCTGTATAGAGATCCTACTATTAATCTCTTTGTCCCCGGAAAGGATGAAAACAGTCATAAATGGAGTTTTTTTTTGCGGAGAATTTGGTACTGGTGATAGCACTCATGCATTCTTCTCTAAGTGCTTACATGCCATTTTCTTCCACTAGACAGGGAACTCCTTAAGGGCAGCCAGGGCCTGATTGGTCTTTGACATCTTGTAGGTTCATTTCGCATGTTTCTTAATAAGTGAATGAATGAACTCAGGTCCCTTAATGTCAAAGGTGCTTAAACATTTTTAGGAAATAATTTGAAAAAAATCTAGATGCCAGACTTATTTTTTTTCTTTCCTCCCTTCTTTGACAAAGAAGTAAAGAATACATTATCTGTGAACATTTGGCAAGAGGGAGATTTTGGTAAAGCCACTAAATTAGAAATGTCCTATTAAATGCCAAACTCTCTATGAATTAGCATTAACTTAAGATTAATGTTTTATGAGAGAATTCTTATACTTTTTTTCCCCTGAAAGTTTTTCCTTGAAAATATTTTAACTATTTGACAACATGACTGTTTTGGGTTTAGTCAACTCAGGCTAGATTTTTTTTTTGCTTTTTTTAAAAAGAGGTAAATAGTTTTGTTGGTAAAAATCACATTTCATATCAAACCTACAATATGAGATTGCTGAGTATGATTTTTTTTTTCTTTCTAGCTCAAATTGGAACCTTATGGACATTTAACCTAGAAACATATGTCAATGTGATTTATATGTAGAAAATCTCTTTTTATAGTATTAAAATCACTATTGTGTTCCAATCTTTATTCTCCGGGGATAAATGTTGGCAAATCACTTCCTTCCATTCAGATACCTCAGAACTCAAACTGCCTGAAGCTTAGCAACAGATTCGTTAGAATATACAATCCCCTACCCACCCTCCAAAAAGGTTATGATGACAGGAAAAATGTTTCCTGTTTCTCCTTAAAGGATGGGGAGACGGCAGAAAAAGAAAGGAGACAATTTAAAAATCTGGTTTCTTGATGTCTAAAAAAACACAGTTCAGATTAATTACTAGTGCCTTAAATAAGAAATAGGAAAAACGTCCTACACAGAGAGAGTTGCTTTATCCAGCCATGAACATTTGGTGCTCATCCCAGGATCCAGGCCCAAAGACAATTTTAGACAGATCTGAAAAAAAACCAGGCCAAGGATATTTTTAAAAATGAAAACTGGATATAGAACCCATTGTACTTATACCATTCCTCTTCCGATGTATCAGCACTCTCTGTATCTTGACTCTATCACCTTAACAACCCTGGAAAGTTCAAGAAGATTTAGGGAGTATGTGTTTATATACTATTCCTCCCCACCTCCATAGAACATATTTTACCAATTATGTTTACAAAGAGAATTTGGGTCTTTCCTATCTTGCTTTACTCACCTATAACTTGGAGATTATAAATATGTTTCCGTCTCCTGGGGAATAGTCTCTCACGTTGCATTTCAAAGATGTGCTGTCCAGATGTGAAAGGTTTTTTTCACTTTTAAAATTTCTTCAGAGCACGGATCTCTTAATGGAATGCAGTATGTTATTCACATAATGAACTAAATATGGTCTGAGAAGGACTCCGTATTTCTATATCTGAGTCCTTGTGGAAGACCCGCAATCTAACTTAAAAGGCTGACAAGATTGAAACCCTAATTTAGGAGTATGCCCTGTAACAATAGCTGAGTCTCGGCCAATCTTAGCAGCCATACTTCAATCCTTCATACACTGCCAAGTGTTCAAACTATGTTCAAATAAGGCAAACATCAGTCTGGAACCAATTCAGCTGTTTCTATACCTTGCTGCTGATTTCTGTATATCAATTCCTTTTTTTTTTGTCAATAAATTTGTTCTGACCATGAGGCATCCATGGAGTCTCTGAATCTGCTGTGATTCTGGGGGGCTGCCCAATTCACGAATCTTTCATTGCTCAATTAAACTCCTTTAAATTTAATTTGGCATAAATTTTGCTTTTAACGGCCTGGTCAATAAGGATGTCTTTTGTTAGGATAGATAACATGTATCAGAGCTTTCTTTTTGTTTCCTGTGCAATCCTGGAATTCTGGTACGGAAGATGTACTAGAGAAGAGGCTGACAGTTTGGCGGCCATATGAAAAGGATGTCAGATTGAATCAGATCCCCTATTTTCCAGTTTCTGAGCACTCAGGTGCTTGTTGCTCCCCATGAGTCCTGAATCTTGGGAGGCAGTCTACAAAAGCAGGTGTTGCTACCTTCCAGGTTATAAATACTGGCACTGCTCAGTCACTCTCAGAGCACTGAGAGGGCCAGTGATGCGTGGGTCAAGATCTGTGAGAATTTTTCAGTGAAATTCACAGTGGCTTGATCCAGGCTATGAATTAGGTAATGCTGGCTTTTCTTTGTCTATGAAGAACTGACCCTTGTATATCAGTTAGAAAAAAAAATCTGATTTGAAAAAGGGAAACACTTTAAATTAAAGGAAAAGCAGATAGTCTGGGAGGCCATGTAGTCCCATGCATTAATTCTCTAATAAAAGATGAATTAATAGCCCCAGCCTATCAGGTACAATAGGACCCTTTCTATTCCTTCTGCTTCTTTTTCCCTTATCCTCATAATTTGCTTTCCAGAGCTTAAATAAAGGTAATCTCAGCAATTCTTGGGTTTCCATCTCTTCCTTTTAATACCTCAGTGTGTTCAGGGAAAATATATTGTTTAGATCCTGGACATTCTAAACAAGATCCCTCAGAACCCCTGAACTATGTATTGAGTTCAACACATTATAATAAGAAAAAGAAATAGGATTTAAATTCAGAAGATTTGGCCGCTAAGTACTGGCATGCACTTACTGAATGGTTTTGTGCCAGTTATTCCAGTGACTCTTTTGAATCTGTTTTAGTATTTGTAGAACAGGAATAATAATGCCTGCCTCATAGGTCATTGTGAGGATGCAATGAGACAACACTACATAAAAGTGTATGAAATTACCAATATTCAATAGTCAACCTTTTTTTTTTTTTTGGAGACAGGGTCTTGTTCTGTCACCCAAGCTGGAATGCTGTGGTGTAATCATGGCTTACTGCAACCTCAAACTCCTGTACTTCAGTGATCGAGTAATCTTCTTGTTTCAGCCTCCCGAGTACATGGGACTACAGGTGTGTGCTACCATGCCCAGTTGGCTTTTTTTTTTTTTTTTTTTTTTGATAGACACTGGATCTCACTAAGTTACCTAGGCTGGTCTTTAACTCCTGGGCTCAAGCAATCCTCCTGCCTTGGCCTCCCAAAGTGCTGGGATTAGAGGTGTGAGCTACCACTTCCAGCCTCGACTGTTTCTGACCTTCACAGACAACTATTCCAAATGGGGCAAACTCTTATAAACAATGATTTGTAAATTGTAAGGTAGAATGTACATTTTATTTAAAATGAAATGAAAAGGTACATTTTCTTCTCAAGTGTTCAAAGAGACATGGACCTTCCCTAACAACCAGAGGAGAAATATATGGGAAAGTGTATATAGAATTTAAAAATCAATGACAAGGAAGATAATACTAAGTGAGGAAATGAACTTTTATTCCTTGGATAATCCTGGGCTAAACATCAATATAGTGATTAGGATGATCCCTTTAATGAGCTGTGTATATAAATGTGAAATATTCACCCATTCCATATTAATAGTTCAGAAAGTCCTTCTCAAAGGACAAAACATTTCCTATTCAAATTCCTCAATCAAAATCCAGTTTAATATGTTTGAAATTTGGATATCTTTACACATTATGGAAAGGAAGAGTAACTTGATCTTAGAGGTTTGTTTTTGTTTTTGTGACAGGGTCTTGTTCTGTTGCCTAGGCTGGAGTGCAGTGGTGTGATCATGACACACTGCAATCTTGACCTTCTGAATTCAAAAGGTCCTCCCGCCTCAGCCTCCTGGGGATCTGGGATGTCAGGCATAGCACTGGGTAACTGAAAACAAGATGAAAACTTTAACCATTACTTGGCTTGGCGGGGCGCAGTGGCTCACACCTGTATCCCAGCACTTTTGATTCTTTGAAGAGAAACTTGGGGTTCACTATAACAGCATGATTAACTTTTTGAGGTCAGAGAGCCCCAAACTCCGTCAGATCATGCTAACGCTGCCATTTTCTGAATATGCATCCTGTGAAGAGCCATGGACCCCGACTATGCTTGTACAGATCATGAATTGCCTTATTTTTTCCCACGGCAAATTGCCTTTCCTCATGCCTTAGACCACCCAACTTCTCTAACCCATAAATGTCCCTAAGTCTGATCTTCAGGGAGGCCCATTTGAGAGCTCTTCTCCTGGCTCTTTGTGTTATACCTGAGTGAGTTTAAACAGGAGCGCCAGGCTCTGAGTTTGTTGAGAGTCTACCAGGCGCCAGACTGGAGTGCAGTGGTGCGACCTCGGCTCACTGCAACCTCCGCCTCCTGGGTTCGAGCAATCCTTCTGCCTCAGCCTCCCGAGTAGCTGGGACAACAGGTGCGCGCCACCACGCCCAGCTAATTTTTTTGGTATTTTTAGTAGAGATGGGGTTTCACCATGTTGGCCAGGATGGTCTCGTTTTCTTGACCTCGTGATCCGCCCGCCTCGGCCTCCCAAAGTGCTGGGATTACAGGCGTGAGCCACCGCGCCCGACCGAGAGTCCACTTTTTTTTTTGAGATGGAATTTCGCTCCTGTTACCCAGGCTGGAATGCAATGGAGCGATCTCGGCTCACTGCAACCTCCGCCTCCTGGGTTCAAGCAATCCTTCTGTATCAGCCTCCCGAGTAGGTGGGACTATAGGCGTGCGCCACCATGCCCAGCTAATTTTTGTATTTTTAGTAGAGACGGGGTTTCACCTTGTTGACCAGGATGGTCTCGAACTCTTGACCTCGTGATTCACCCGCCTCGGCCTCCCAAAGTGCTGGGATTATAGCCGCGAGCCACCGCGCCAGGGCCGAGAGTCCACTTTTAGTCCACTTTTAATGCTGCTGTTCAAGAGTCAGCTAGAGCGCAAACCACTCGGCCACGAACAAAGGGCGGTCATCATTTTTATACCAGTTTAGGGTCGAGGGGGTAAACAGATTATTACAGAAACAGAAGGAGCAGGTTGGGGAAGCGGGGGTGCCTAACAAAAAAAGTTCTACTTAGGCCGGGCCTGGTGGCTCAAGCCTGTAATCCCAGCACTTTGGGAGGCCGAGGCGGGTGGATCACGAGGTCAACAGATCCAGACCATCCTGGTCAACTTGGTGAAACCCTGTCTCTACTAAAAATACAAAAATTAGCTGGGCATGGTGGCGCGTGCCTGTAATCCCAGCTACTCAGGAGGCTGAGGCAGGAGAATGGCCTGAACCCAGGAGGCGGAGGTTGCGGTGAGCCGAGATCGTGCCATTGCACTCCAGCCTGGGTAACAAGAGCGAAACTCCATTTCAAAAAAAAAAAAAAACGTATTCATTACAGCCAAGCTAGGGTATTTCACTTGAAGGGCTGTTCTGTGAATACATTTTTTCTCTTTTTGCCAAACTCATCATCACAGTGATTAGTTGACTGTACATGGGCAGAACGAGCCTGGTTCAGTATCAGACTGGATGAGAGGAGGAATGAGGGAAAGGAAGGTGTTAACAGTGATTCCTGGGTTTGTGATGTGAGGAAATTGGGGTGGGGAGATTTACTGAGATAAGGATGGGCTGGGGCCCGGGAGGATGACTAGGTTTTTTTGTTTGTTTTGTTTTTGTTTGAAATGCAGTTTCACTCTTATTGCCCAGGCTGGTGTACAAAGGAGTGATCTCAGCTCACTCCAGCCTCCAGTTCCAATTCAAGCTGTTGTTCTGCCTCAGCTTCCTAAGGAGCTGGGATTACAGGCACCTACCATCATGCTCAGCTATGTTTTGTATTTTTAGTAGAGACAGGTTTCACCATGTTGGCCAGGCTGATCTCAAACTCCTGACCTCAGGTGATCCACGCATCTCTGCCTCCCAAAGTGCTGGGATTACAGGCGTCAGCCACCATGCCTGGCAAGGATGACCAGGTTTTTATGGTAAATTGGAATGGTTCAAACCTTCAAGAACTTGAAGACACATCACTACTTCACCTCTTAAAAATCCCCTTTTAGCTAAATAACTCTCTACCTGAAGACAAGGTTATTTTTCTATGTCTGTGTTGTATTCCGGTTGACTGTTGTGTATTGACAGTCACTTAGACAACCGCTCCTTCTTTAATTTTATGACTCTTTGCCAACTTTTCTTCTTTATCTGTTAAGGAGTTCTGTTTTCAGTAGTATATCTTTGGTTCATCCTAAGTAATGTATTTTTTTACTTTTTGCACATGTGAACTGAACTTCATCTTTTATCATCACCAATAGTGTATTTTCTAGACCCCACACTTTTATTTTTCAGTACATAGCCACCAACCCTATTTGCATTTTTACTTTTAAATTTCCTGTGGTGCAAAGTCAGAGGTAACCAGGTCCACACACATTTATATCTTTCCATAATGTCAGACTTTTATTGATGATATTTAAATCACAAAAGCCATGAGCTACATGGAGTTCCTAAGAAGCCAGTTCTCCTTAGTACTTCACATTCACTTAGTACGCAGAGCTGTGGGCACACAGGCTCAAGCCATCCCACCAGTCAGTCAATATTGCAAATCATACACAATTGTATGCTTGTATTACAGATTAAATATTCCCCAACAAATGAAGTAACATTTAACTTCAAGAGAAAAAGACATAGGAAAAAATGGTTAATGAAACATGGAGCCAAGAAAAATGGTTAATGGACCATTTTTCATTAATTGGGGAGAGTGACTAAGACAAAAAGAATCTCCTGGTGTGAGCCAGGTGGTCGGACTGCCTTGCATGGAAGGGTCTTGGATGTGGGCAGAGTCTTCAGTGGCAGAGGTCAAGTACTCATCATGAGTGACAGCAACACAGTGTCAGCTAATATGGCTGCTTCGAGCTGCGGAAACCCTTCTCTTTTTATGGCCACAGAGTCCTCTGGTGAGGACCGATTATGCAAGAATGTGCTTGCTGGCTTCCTTATCTGGTCGGATGGGGTCTTTATTATTCATTTATTTATTAAGCAAAGCATCTTGCCTCTGTTGGCAAAGTGCCCTATGAAATGTAAGACGGAGTCTTTTCCTAAGATGGGGTTACTGATGACAAGGGTACTTTATACGTCCTTCATTCAATAGAAGGGAAGCGCAGATAAAGGAACATAGATCTTAACTGTAAGCAATTTGATGGAGACATTTCTGGAGGTACTAAGGGGATAATTCAGGGGGAAAGCTGTTATGGAAAATAACACAATTTTTATTTCTTTAAATGTTGATTGTCAAGGAAGGTTTCATAAATCATTGGTTAATATTTGAAGACAAATATAGAATTAGATTGAAATGCTTCCCACAGAAATATCCCAGCTGTTTCCCAACAGAACCTCAGAGCTTCACTTTCAATCAGGACTGGGCTTGGACAACAGCCATTTTAGAACAAATATTCTCTCATGCCAACATTTTTGTGGCTGGAAAGGTCAAGAGAGAAATTTAGAACAGCTTTATTGTACTAGTTCGGTAATTTTCAGTACTAGTTCAGGAATCACATTCGAGGATAAAACAGAACAATTATAATTCAGGATATCCTCAGCAAATAATCATTTGGAATTTACTCCTAGAATTTCCTCTGGACCTCACTAGATTTTCCTAACTCTGTATGTTTCTGACTTTCTGTGGTTATCATTTGTCTGAACCTTGTGTTCTTGATGAGTACTCATTTTTAGAATCAAAAACACAAATCAGAATTTTACTGAGGTTGAAATCTTACTGATGAGGCTTATATCTGAGAAGGGAGATTCACACTTTGTCCAAAGTTCAGCATTCCTCAACCCCCAACTCTCCTTCCTATTTTTAGATGGAGAAGAATGGCAACAGTTTTTCTCTTGGTAGAATGTCAATGTTTTCCTTGATGTAAGCTTGGTGTTTGGAACATGGAGCCAAGATCTTCACTTTTAGGTTTGAAATTTACTCTGTGGTTCACGGCCACTTGGTTCTTATCTTGACTTTGGGATTCTGAGCTTTAAATGAAGTATAGAAATTTGTTTCTTCCCTGGAGTGAAGGGCTATTATAGAGCTTAATTAATTTGTAATTTGTAATATGCTTTGAA